CAGCCCCCAACTAAAACCTCTCCAGCGCATCATCAAAGATCTACAACCTATCCTGAAAGATGATCCCTCACTCTCACAGATCTTGGGAGACAGACCTGTCCTCGCTTACAGACAACTCCCCAACCTGAAGCAAATACTCACCAGCAACCACACACCACTGAACAAAAACACTGACCCAGGAACCTATCCTTGCAACAAAGCCCCATGCCAACTCTGTCCACATATCTATTCAAGTGACATCATCATAGGACCTAATCACATCAGCCATACCATCAGGGGCTCATTCACCTGCACATCTACCAATGTGATATATGCCATCATGTGCCAGCAATGCCCTTCTGCCATGTAGGAGAACACTTTAACCTGTCTGGTCACTCAATAACAGACCTGAGGGTGGCAATATTGCAACAGAAAAGCTTCAAAAACAGACTCCAACGAGAAACTGCTGAACTCGAATTGATATGCAAACTAGATACAATCAACTTAGGCTTGAACAGAGACTGGGAATGGCTGAGCCATTACAAACATTGAATCTATCTTCCCATGTAAGTATTCTCACACTTCTTATCAAACTGTCTAACTGGGCTATCTTGATTATCACTTCAAAAGTTTTTTCTCTTACTTAATTGGCCTCTCAGAGTTGGTAAGACAACTCCCACCTTTTCATGCTCTCTGTATGTGTATATATATATCCTCAATATATGTTCCATTCTATACATCCGAAGAAGTGGGCTGTAGCCCACGAAAGCTTATGCTCAAATAAATTTGTTAGTCTCTAAGGTGCCACAAGTACTCCTGTTCTTTTTGCGGATACAGATTAACACGGCTGCTACTCTGAAACGAGAAGGAAGGGTCACCCAATAAAAATAAGCAGCAGGTTTAAAACAAACAAAAGGAAGTATTCGCACAACACATAGTCAACCTGTGGAACTCATTGCCAGATGTTGTGAAAGCCAAAACTATAACAGAGTTCAAAAAATAACTAGATAAGTTCATGGAGGATAGGTCCATCAATGGCTATTAGCCAAGATGGTCAGGGATGCAATGCCATGCTCTGGGTGTCCCTAGCCTCTGAGTGCCAGAAGCTGGGAAAGGACAACAGGGATGGATCACTCAATGATTGCATGTTCTGTTTATTCCCTCTGAAGCATCTGGCACAACCACTGTTGGAAAACAGCGTATGGGGCTAGATGGGCCTTTGATATGACCCAGTATGGCTGTTCTCATGTTCACCAGGACTTTCTCAATGCTGACACTAAAAAATACTATAAATGACTAGAGGTCGAAGGGGTTACATTGGCAGAGGTTGTATCCTTTGCATGAGGCAGGTCTTTTCTGCCCACTTCTCATGGCACTACTGATGAAATCTCAGCATTCTGTCAGTTCTTGAAAAGTGTAGGTGATGTCTCTTATTTCTTCAACACGTGCTGTCTGTCAGTTAAACAAATCCTACTGTCCAATTCCTCAGATAAATTTATTCCTGAGTGCATAATGACAGTCACATTGGTGAATACGCTCCCAGTTTTCTAACTCAATGTTTTGCAGCACTTTGGGATAATTTTGGTATGAAAGATGTAACTTTATATAAAACGATGCTATGTTCTGTTGGTCTAAAGTGGTTATTACTATATGTGTGAACTAGTGTTTTAAAAGGGAAAAGGATTTTAGTGTGTGTTTGTTGACTGTTCATGTTCTTCAGTATCACTGATGCAGTAGACTCTAGAGCATATAGCAGGCTGTCAGCAATCTGAGACCTAAAACGTCATCATTTCTTGAAATAACCGACTATAACCCTGATCCTGCAAATGCTAATAGTCCCAAGGTCTGGGAATTACAGGCGTTTCTAGTCACTGTGGTATGTAATATAAGGTATATTTTACAAATTGCAATACACTTACTCATGGATAACATAAATGACAGCCTTAACTTTGGATTTCCATACTTTTGTTTTTTTTGTAAAACTGGTACCATCATTATGTTAATATTGATTTAATAGTATCAGGGAGTCAGTAGAAGCTGGCCCATAAATAATGTGTTTTACTGGTGATACAGAACTGGTCTTAAGAAGTGAACAGCTGCTGCTGTGGGATATATTTTCGGACTAGAACAGTGTGGTCTATTGAAGACAAGTGCATGAAAATGGCAACACAGAGAATTTTGGCCCTCATGTATCCAGATAGTCAAAGCAATAGCATAGAAAGTAAATGGTGTTTAAGATTACAGTTCTTAAAAATTGTTCTAAAATCTGCACCTAAAAATAATTCAGTGCTATGCTATATTAAACCACAAGAAAACTCCTGTTATGTTGAATTTTTTGCAGAAATTCATGAGAGTAACAACTGAGTCTTTCTCTGATTCTCTAGTGAAACAGCAAATACTATAACTTGCTGTTTTTACTGTTGCATTGATGAGTGGGTGTCACTTTAGACTATATTGTGTCTCCCATTGAAGAACAATGAATAGAATGAGTGTTGATTATTAGGCAGTACTATGAAACAATACATTGAAAAATATCCTTGCCTCTTTGGATTTTTCCCTCCAGTCAAACTGAATTATCATTTTACTATATTTTTCTCTTCTGCTTGTCAGTTCTATGATAAAACTGTAAATGACATTATTCAAAACAAACCCATCTTTCACTCTATATAGGTACAATAAAGGGCTACCATATTTGTTAGATCTACCCTGATTGGTGGGTTAATTTTTATAGCCATATATATTATACTGGAAGTCCCAGGGACTATGTAATAATTTTTGTCACACAGTTAGCATCTTTTTCATCAGTCCTTGTGCTGTCATAATGAAACACATCAGAGGGTGACTGTAACGGGATTCACTCACCACTCTGGCGCCTTCTTCTGGCTATCTTGGGGATTACCTCTGCATGTTAGTGTGCCCGCTTCAGGTGGTGCCTTGCCACCGTCACTCATGCTCTAGGACCCACATCTCTCCAAGGTCTTCGGCATCCTCTTCAGCAACACAGCCCTCCAGCCGTGCCACACACTGTGCTCTCCCCTTCCAGGGGACCTGCAGTCCGCTGTTCAGCCACTTCCCTTAGTGGCTACTGCAGCAAATTGTCTGGCCACTTCCTCATGGCCCCAGCATCCTCTTTGCCCTCGCCTCAGGGCCTCAGCCTGCAAACCCCAGCAGCCAGCCAGGAGCTGTTTCTCACTCTGCTGGTCCCTGCTAGGTGCACTGCTCTGTCCAGGGTGCTGGCAGTTCTCTCAGCCCTCCAGAGATAGTCCTTCCTCCCAGAGCTCCCAGCAGAGAACTGCCCTCCTCTGCCTTGCAGCTCCCTTTTTATATGGGCCTGCTTGGCTGCTCCCTGCAGCCCTTCTCTGATTGGCTGTCTCCTGTGCAGCCTCCCTAGGGCTCTATTAACCCCTTAGAGCCCAGTGCGGGGCAGGCACCCCATCACAGTGGATCTCATTCTGATTGCCACACTCATCACAACAGTGCTGCTGAAATAAATACTGCAGAAGAATATATGCCAAGTGTTCCCCTCCTCAGTAAATCAGATTCTCAACCTTGCTCAAGGTATACGGAAGCTTGTTCTGCCTTATCACTAAAATCAGTGACACAGCTTGCAGTCATTGATCTTACAGAAAGTACACAGCCATGCACCTCTGTGTACTGTATCTAAGACAAAAACCTGTATATGTCAGGTTGAGCTTTTAAAAATCAATAAAATAATCAAACCTATCGGTCAAATGTGTCTTTGGTGTCACTCTGTAAGAGAGAAATGTTGTTGGTCGTAAATGCTGTGTATAGTTAGAAAATACTGGCAAGAGAACTACTGGGGGGGTTCTTAAATGAAGAATTTTTGTAAGTGTTCAGTGATATAAATCTTTTAAATTTTTTGTACATAGTTTACTAGTTTATATTCAAGTAACAATATATGACCTGAGTGCAACCTATTTGTTGTGTTGGGCTTTGAAAATTAATTCAATTTTTAAAGCACAAAAAGCTAAATGATTACAATTATTTATTTTATTTAATTTTCTTATTTAACTATGTTTTCATATTTTGTTTCATTCAGTAATGTTAGTTTATGGTTTTCCGGAATGTCCCAGAACATGAAACCATGAATCAGGCACCAGAAATTCTGTCATTGCTGCTACCCATTTAAAGAAAAAGACATTTATATATTAATGTACCATTGTTTAAAAAGCTTCCAAAGAGGAGAACACTCTTTAAACAAATATATTTTTCTCTAATAAAGAATTGAATTGATGTTAGAAAAGAAGATTTAGTCTCCAGATTTTTCAGAGGTTCCTGGCACCAACAAAGCCCATTGAATTCACTATGAGCTGCAGGTCCTCAGCACTTTTGAAAAATCAGGCTATTAATTGTCATGAGCAATATGCACATACCGTACTGGGCTTTATGAATTAAAGAACAATAAAGTCTTGCAGTGAAGTTTCTGTGTGGACCACAGAGCACCAGTTCTATACTCAGAAAACAAAAGAGGACAAATCAGCAGATTGCTACATGGATAATTTGCAGCCTTCAGATTCTAACACCAAACGCCCTAGCTAGACTGTGCAGAACAGATCTTAGTGGGACATTGCAAATAGATGGCACATCATTTTTAGAAGAATGGCTTAAACTAAATATAAATATAGGAAAGCATCCCCAAAAGGTGTTACAGATGATTTGGCTAGCTCTGATTTTCTAAAATTCATCATCCTATATAGTTCTAATACCTTTCCCTTGCAGACTTTATTAGTAGTTATGATTTTACTTCCACAACAAACTGGTATTTTAAAATCCTCTTTTTTTTTTTTTATGTTAACTAGGAACCACAGGTAAAGTACAGATGTACAGACCTAGCTTTAACCATCAGAAATCTGCAATTTTGATTCTGCAGAGAGCATTGCAGCTTATCTGACATGTCCGAGTTTGATTATTTCTGATTCATTTTTTTATGAAGCATTTACCTACATTGCATGCTCATCTATATCCATGAGTCTGAGCAGTATCTCCTGGTTTCTTTCTAGGATTGTGGAAAAAGGATATTACAGTGAGCGAGATGCTGCCAATGCTGTTAAACAAATCCTGGAGGCAGTTGCTGTAAGTATTAACTAGGATCATAGGCTCAGCACATAATAATCTTTCATTTATTTGGAATAATTGCTTAATAAGTACGCATGTGCAAAAGAAGCAGCTGTTCCTTGTAACTAGTCTATACATTCATTTCTATAACTGTTCTATCAATCCCTCGAAAGTAGTGACATCTCAGAGGCAAAAGTGACCTTGAGTGACACCAATATATGCTATAATTCATCTGCTATAGTTGAATTAATGTTCTTTATCACTACCCATTTTCAAAAACCTGCAAAGGTCAGTATAGATCATTTAGGACAGAAAATGATTTGAGATTTCTGGCCCTTTTGTAGTCTTCCATTCAAATTTTTGTGAAGTACATCACTATCATTTATTTAGGATTCCTTTTTATACAGAAGAGAATGCATTATCTTGCCATCCAACATTGAGAGACTAATGGAATGAATGAATTAGTAAGATTGCATGGCATGTTAGGGAAACTTGAGTGGGAGTTTCCTGCAGAGTGTAGCCATGAATAAAGAGGTTTTGCTTCATTTGCAGTCACTGTCTGACAAATCATAGAATCCTAGAATATCAGGGTTGGAAGGGACCTCAGGAGGTCATCTAGTCCAACCCCTTGCTCAAAGCAGGACCAATCCCCAACTAAATCATCCCAGCCAGGGCTTTGTCAAGCCTGACCTTAAAAACCTCTAAGGAAGGAGATTCCACCACCTCCCTAGGTAACCCATTCCAGTGCTTCACCACCCTCCTAGTGAGAAAGTTTTTCCTAGTATCCAACCTAAACCTCCCCCACTGCAACTTGAGACCATTACTCCTCGTTCTGTCATCTGGTACCACTGAGAACAGTCTAGATCCATCCTCTTTTGAACCCCTTTTCAGGTAGTTGAAAGCAGCTATAAAATCCCCCCTCATTCTTCTCTTCTGCAGACTAAACAATCCCAGTTCCTTCAGCCTCTTCTCATAAGTCATGTGCTCCAGCCCCCTAATAATTTTTGTTGCCCTCTGCTGGACTCTTTCCAATTTTCCCACATCCTGGACACAGTACTCCAGATGAGGCCTCACCAATGTCGAATAGAGGGGAATGATCACATCCCTCGATCTGCTGGCAATGCCCCTACTTATACAGCCCAAAATGCTGTTGACTCCTATCCAGCTTCTCGTCCACTGTAACCCCTAGGTCCTTTTCTGCAGAACTGCTGCCTAACCATTCGGTCCCTAGTCTGTAGCAGTTCATGGGATTCTTCCGTTCTAAGTGCAGGACTCTGCACTTGTCCTTGTTGAACCTCATCAGATTTCTTTTGGCCCAATACTCTAATTTGTCTAGGTCCCTCTGTATCCTATCCCTACCCTCCAGCATATCTACCACTCCTCCCAGTTTAGTGTCATCTGCAAACTTGTTGAGGGTGCAGTCCACGCCATCCTCCAGATCATTAATGAAGATATTGAACAAAACCGACCCCAGGACCAATCCTTGGGGCACTCCACTTGATACCGGCTGCCAACTAGACATGGAGCCATTGATCACTATGATCACTACCCGTTGAGCCCGACGATCTAGCCAGCTTTCTATCCACCTTATAGCCCATTCATCCAGCCCATACTTCTTTAACTTGCCGTCAAGAATACTGTGGGAGACGGTATCAAAAGCTTTGCTAAAGTCAAGGAATAACACGTCCACTGCTTTCCCCTCATCCACAGAGCCAGTTATCTCGTCATAGAAGGCAATTAGGTTAGTCAGGCATGTCTTGCCCTTGGTGAATCTATGCTGACTGATCCTGATCACTTTCCTCTCCTCTAAGTGTTTCAGAATTGATTCCTTGAGGACCTGCTCCATGATTTTTCCAGGGATTGAGGTGAGGCTGACTAGCCTGTAGTTCCCTGGATCCTCCTCCTTCCCTTTTTTAAAGATAGGCACTACATTAGCCTTTTTCCAGTCATCCGGGACCTCCCCCGATCGCCATGAGTTTTCAAAGATAATGGCCAATGGCTCTGCAATCACATCCGCCAGCTCCTTTAGCACCCTCGGATGCAGCGAATCCGGCCCCATGGACTTGTGCTCGTCCAGCTTTTCTAAATAGTCCTGAACCACTTCTTTCTCCACAGAGGGCTGGTCACCTCCTCCCCATGCTGTGCTGCCCAGTGCAGCAGTCTGGGAGCTCATCTTGTTCGTGAAGGCAGAGGCAAAAAAAGCATTGAGTACATTAGCTTTTTCCACATCCTCTGTCACTAGGTTGCCTCCTTCATTCAGTAAGGGGCCCACACTTTCCTTGACTTTCTTCTTGTTGCTAAATGTTCCTTCATGTATGCTGACATGTATGTAGAGGTCTCTAAACAATCACATACAACCTTAGGGGACTGGTCAATAGAGAACATACAAGCAAAATGGATTATGGGGAGACAAGTAGTTTAGTTTGCAACAGAATGTCTGATTAAAGCTAAATTCTCAACCCTCTCAAAAATAAACATGCAGGGTGACCCCAGATGGGCACCTAGGGGCCCAAGGTAAAGTTTGTGGTGCAAATTTAGTCATTTGGTCAAGGAGTTCCCAAAGAGACAGCCCTCTTCCCCATATTGTATACTCCTAAAATTTCAATGGTCTTATAATGGTTTCTTGTGCAGAAATATGGGGGAAAAACTATGGGTAATAACCACATGAAACTTCCTCGGCTCCCTGGACTGTCCCTGCTGAGATCTAGTGTCCAGTACCAGAACAAGGCTCTGAGTCAAATTAATAAGTTGCTAGACTTTATTTCTGGTTCCATGGAGTAGTGTAGCAATAGTGAGACCACTGCAGTCCTGCATGGACCAATACCACTGTACACAGTCTTCCAGCTAGTGTGGGGTGAGAAAGGGAGACTGAGTTCCCCACAAACATTGTGTAGCTTAGGGAAAGCTGTCCTGGACTAGGGGCCAAGAGACCAGTTCAAGTTTTGTCTTCTAATCACTGCTGTTAATTTCTGTGCCGTTCATAACTCACATATCCCCCTATCAGCAAGAACAGGGTGCTTAGCAGCTCCAAGAAAGCCAGCCCAGGCCCCCGCAAAGATATTTCTGAACCAAGCCCCTTTCATTACACTCACTTTTTTCTAATGGTGAAGTTAACATGCAAAAACATGTTTTATGTGGAATAACATTCCAGACACTCCGCAATGCCCTTTGCACGTTGTGTTCTTCTAGAAATGATATGTCAATACCAAAAGCTCAGATATTCTGCAACCAGAAAATATAACATTAAGGTTCCACTTACAAGATCATTAGTGTTATAAGAAAAAACAAAACACCAACTTTAGAAAACCAGGCAATACAGAGTTAGTGACAGTTCCTATGCACCACAATCACACAACTTTAACCCTGCCTCCTTTCATTCCTGCCCTAAGGAGGAGCTCAGCAGCACCTTACTCCTTCTTAAGTGTTTTTCTTGTGTAGTGTGATCTCTGCCAACCATTTGCAACTACTTCCCAGATCAGTGGTGCAGACCACTGTGATGGCCCATGGAAGTGCATTGATAGGAATGATGATTTCGGGTTGTGATGGATATACAGAAATTGATGGGACAGATAAATTACTGTGCTGTTTCCTGTTGCCAGCCCCACGAGGGGCAGTTACGTTGACACTTCCTACTTACCACAACCTTAACTGTATTGGCTGGTTTTCTTACATTCGTATTTTGCTTGTTATAGTACACTGATGCTTTTAAGGGGGCTTAGAACTCAGCATTTCCTAGTTTCCCAATATCTGAGTTTTTGAAATATTCCCCTCACATTCTAGAAGGTTACAAGGTATGTAAAGGGCACTATGAAGTACCTGGAACCTTAACTCCACCTTAACAAAGATTTTATTTCCTCTGTGTTAATAGAGTTTAGCTGAGACAAGGCAATTCACAGGTCTAGACTTCATAACGGTTTCATAGAAATTGAGGTGCTCTGAGGATTTCCTCATTTTTATTGCATTAAAATTGTCATGGAGCTTTGTTGAAACACACTTTTACTGTATAATAACTTCAGATCTTCTGCCTCCTATTAAAGATTCTTAACCACATTGGGAAGGTGATGTATTTATCCCATAAGCAATGAGCTAACCACCCTTTTGCTTGGTAGATATCCAGGGCTTCAGTCTCCATATGAAAAATTTCACTTGTTCTCTTGGATTAACACACAGGTGTCTGGGTAGCAGAATCAGAAGGGGAAGCAGAGGGGGAAAAAAGGGACACAGTATAAAAAATGTGGTGGTCATCTAAGTTTCACAAGTATTGACAAGTTCTGTTAAAACTAGATTTTGCCACCCATATTCACTGAAACTATTCACTGAGGGTGAAATCCTGCCCCCTTTTTGAAGTCAGTGAGCGTTTTGCCATTGACATCAGTGGGGCCAGGATTTTCCTACATGAGTAAAAGTGAGATAATTGGGCCCGCAGTGATTGTCTTGTCTACACTTTCTTTTAAATAAGCCAAGTTAAACAATAGGTTCACATTGTTTTTCTGTTCTCTGTAGATAGTGCATCTCTCTGAAAACAATTCCTTTTCAGCTTGATAAATACAACCCAGTAAACTGATTATATTGATTTTTCCTCTGGTGTGTGAAATGGAGGCCAAAGTACTGCAATTTTGACCTTGCAAAAGAAGTGAATTTTCAGAATGCATATCGTTTCCAATCAAAAGGTGACATTTCTAAACACAGTCATCAAAGTAAATATAGGTTAATAAATGTTATAAAATATAAGTTTTGCAGAATAGTGTTTTGATTACTGTTATCAGAGGATGGGTCCAGAGATTAGATGTCCTTGTCAATGAATAAAAGTTAAATCCTCAGATATATGTTTTATGGGAAACTAGTCTGTGGAATCTTTTGTTAATGCAGTTATTGGATAGAAAGCACTACAGCTGGCCAGATAGTGGGGAAATGTATTTGTGATCGTGTTTGTGAAATCTGATTCACTATGTGCTTTTCCTGGTTTGTCATCCAATCAGACAGCAGAAACATAAATATGTGACTTTTATGAGACATAA